GGGGGTTGGGGGGTGGCTCTGCGCTGTCTGCCTGGCGATCCGCACCCGGCTCATTCTCATGCTGGCTGCTTTGGGTTTTCCCCATCTCTGGCACGGTGCTGGTCTGGGTTTGTTTCGGTGGATTCAATCATTTGGCTAAGCAACCCATGCTAAAAAGACACAGATGCCAAACATAGAAGAAATGATTGTCCTGGGACATTTCTTTTCATGTTGGAGCCAATTCCCGCAGGTCCTGGGACTGTCTGTAGCTGCTGCCCAGCTGTACTCAGCTTTAGGCCACAGGGCACCAAGATGTTGCTATGAGTCCTGGTATGCCCTGGCAGTCCCGTTCCGTTACAGGGCTGGTTGTGTGAAGGGCTTGGCTTCTTTTGGGAGGTTTCTTTTGGTACGTGGTGGTTTGTTCTGTTCGTGCCTCATGGAACGGCCAGGTGCCAGAGTGTCTCATGCTCAGCCGTACACCATCTGTCATCTGCTCTTGGCTGATGGAGCTCATTTAGTGGCCTCCATAAGCTGTCCTGCTTGCTTAGCTTCGCTTGTGAGACTTATCGCTGACTGAATACTAAAATCCCCAAGGCTGCGTGGGACAATGGAGCATTTTGGTGATAAGGCCCTCACTGGAAAAAGGAGAGGAGACACCCCCGGCATTTGGTGTTGTCACAGAGCTCTTGTCACCTGGAAAAGAGAGGAGGAGGACAAAAGGGGAACCCAGCTTTTATGGGAGCTGGTAGACTCACATCAGTCGTGGGTGTGGAATATTTCTGGCTATGGGAACTCAGATTATGATCTCTGACATTCTCTCATGACGTTTTTTCCATGTCCCCATATGGGAAGTTCTCTGTGTAGCTTTGCTGCGTGTTTTCCCTTCCTCATTCTGTGGATGTCACTGTGCCGACGCAGGTTTGACACATTTTCCTCCCTGTTCTCGGACCTACCGCTCCTGGAAAGGATTGTCCAAGGCAGAGGCAGTGCATGGTGGATGTGGGCCACCGCTGCTGATTTCTGACTTAGGCCTTCAGAGAATTTGTCTCTGCAGAAGCTTACCAGCCTTAGCCAGTGCAGAAATGAACATGGGAAAATCCCGGCCCTATCAGGGCTGTCTGCTGCCAGCACATTGCTGAGCATAAATTGCAAGACTCAACACTTCCTCTGTTAACTCTTGGTAGAAATTGGTTTCCTTTCCTGAAATCTGCTGTGCTTGGCTCCCTGAGACATGCAAGCCACTGCTTAGATATTAGTTTTCACTTTTGTCCTTTCTTTTCAAGCTTTATAGGACCAACTTTCCTTTGCCAGCAAAAATTTGGTTGTTTAGTCATAGCTGACTGAAACTCCAAGCTAGTGTAAGGTAGGACATTTGGTATAATTGCTGGGTGTCTTTCCACAGCCAAACTCATCAGCAACAGTATTTCTGATTTATCCAATAGTCCCTGGGATCACAAGATAGGAGTTGGTGTTTTGGGAGGAACCGACTCAGATTCCTTCCAAGTTTGAGACTCCTCCCTTCTTGGTTGAAGGCATTGGCACAGCGGCAGTCGCATCAGAGGTGTGAGTTGAGGCTCCCTCCTGCCTCGGGTGGGCAGTGCACCAGCACAGACGCGGTGAAGCCCTGTGGCATGAAGACATTTGTGTTGTGAGTCAGCTGTAGCTTGGTTCCTGAATTCATTTCCTGGCTGACTTTGTGATGGCAGGGTGCATGGTCACTTCTGTTCCTCTGTGTTTCTGAATTCGGCTCTCCCTCCTCTCTGGGCTGCTCCAGCTAAGAGTACCATGTCCTTCTTCTGGAACAGAGGGTGTTCTCCCCACGGGGAGCCTTTCCCT